TAATCAAGTACAATATATGAGATAACATTATTTTGTTGCATAAATTTATTTTTTATATTAAAAGTACATATTAAAACTTACCAGATACCACCGACGATGTTACTGTTGTCTTCCTAGGACGTCCACGTTTCCGTTTTACTGTTGACGGTTCACTGGGAGTATCATGTGTGAGATGAACCACTTCGCTTGCAGTTATAGTTGGAGACCTTGTCTCATTGTTAATGTGCTCGTCATCACTTGTGAGGTCTATAAGGTTGGTATTGGTCGCACTACTACTGGGATTATGGGTGGGTAATATACGACGCTTACGCTTGCTTGCTGAAAAAAATAAAGAGTAACACATTTAATTAATTTTATATTTATTCAAATATTAAAATGTATAACAATAGATATTTTAGATAGAAGAAGCTAAAGATCGAAATTCATGAATATACCAATTGAAGCATTAGACGTGCTCAAAAACCCTGTTTTGTCCTGCAACACTATATAAAATTATCCATGTCAGACATAATTTTTGGTATATTATATGTTTTTAATATGAAAAATACAAAAAACAAATATATTTCAAAAAGTAATAAATTGTTGCATTTAAATTATATTTACTTACCATTTTTTATGTCAGAGAACGGAGATTCACGTAAATTAATCACCATATTGCATGGTGATTGTGTGTCTATATTACGTCCTTGCGCGTTCTTTAGGTTTGAACCTGTACATAAATAATTCTTACAACTCTATATAACACATGAAATGGAAAACAAATTTTCAAAAATGTAAATAGTATAAAACATATATATAACCAGATACTTTCTATATTATTAATTTAATTATATATAAAATCAATTAAACTCACCAGATAAATCCAACGTTATTAACGGTGTTTTTCTAGGACGACCACGTTTTCGTTTCTGTGTAAGTGGCTGGGTTTCTGCATAATTAGTGAAACTTTTAAGGACAGGGGTCATGGTAGTTGAAGAAGTTACAATATTCATTTCAAGGTCGTCTTCACTTGTGAGATCGATAACAATATTTTTTGGTGCATTATTACCACCAACATGAATTGCAGATCGATGACAATTATGTTCACCTGTTACAAAACATTCTAGTTACAACATATATATGAAATTAAATAAATTTTTAAACTAAAGCAATTTTATGTAGAATTATAAATTAATAATTTAAATAAGTGAAAAACATACCATTCGGAACATCAGACGACACATCAATTCTATTTGTGTTTTGCAGGACAGTAAAAGAGGATCCAATCCAAGGAGATGTGTTTATTTTATCTACAATTATAACGCAAAAGATTAAACATTATGTTTAATAATAATAATAATAATAATAATAATAATAATATATAAAAAGATTATGTTTAATTGGATGTAAAATATATAAAGCATTGGACTATTTTCCATAAGCCATTACAATACTTTAATAAGATTAGCCCAAATGAACATGGGTTGTAGGCTTGTAGCAAATTGGAAAAGTGTCCAATTTTGACTATTGGAATTGGGCCGAATTCGTAACTTCCAAATTCTAAGTAGTGCTGTTAAGTCGGCCCATTATTCAAATTTTAACAGTTCAGTCCAAACTGGGCCCAATACGCATCAAAAAATATGGCCCATTATCATTTGAAGTCGGTCCATAAACAACTATGCACCAATCGGACGGCCTACATTCGTTGCATCGATCTAACGGACATGAATAGAAGTTTTCGACTATAAAAGGCACAAAATTCCGAAAACTTAGGGTTTACACTCATTTTTTCTCTTCTCCGACACGCGTCTCTCCTCCTTCTCTCCTCATTTCAGTCGGTTTGATTTCTTGTGAATTTTAAATTTTTTTTTTGTGCAGATTTTGAACAAATAATCTAAATCAAACGATTACACATGTTGTAATTTGTTTGTTTATGTTTAGAAACATAGTTCAAACTGCAAAATCTGGATTTTGTTTTTAACACATAGTGATGTTTATATGATTTTGCTATTATTATTTATTTTGTTGGATCTTAGCTCGATTTGTAAGAAAAACCAAAGATTTGTCGAAAATTCATTATTGTTTATTTACGGATCTGGTCGATTTTTTCGATTTGAAGTCGAAAAAAAATGAAACCGGAAAGGAATTAATTTTCGATAAATTTTATGTTGATTTGTGTGTAATATTGATAGATCTGGGCTAATTTTTCAATTAAACTCCAGATCCCTTAAATTATGATCGAAAAATTTCGATTAAACTCCGGAAAGGAAGTCATTCATTTACGAAATAACAAACTGGTTGATTTGTGTGAATCGATTTGATGGATCTGCTGTAATTTTTTCGATTCAACTCCAGATCCTTTAAAATATGAAAGAAAATTATTGAAGCCGAAGAGGGAATCTCTCGCTTGTCAATTAACAAACAGTTTTTGAGAATTAGATGTTTATTTTCTTGAATTAATTACAGATCTGGTTACGAAAGCCGGAAAGGAAGTTTCATTTACCCAATAACAAATTCGTTGAAAGGAATTTTACTTTAATTCGAAAATCACATTTCAATTTAACTTAGTATTTTTAATGATTTTTTGTTTTAGTTTTAACCGAGCCTTTATACAACAATTATTGAAATGCTATGTCTTTCACGCATTGGAGCTCTCCAGAACTTAGTAAGGTAAGAATTTCTTCGTCACAGTTGGTCATAGTTCATAATCTGTGATTTTAATTTCTTAAGGTTATCGTTCAAACAATATCATCCTTGTTTCTAAATGCTGAATTGTTTTAGGAATGATTATGTTGTCGATATATATACTACAATCCTTGACAACTTTATTGTTTTCTATTTAAAATGTGTAATACATGATTTTGAGACTTGAAACACCCCAGCCAATAATAAGGTCTTAGTAACATGCTTAAAAACACATCTGTTGTTCTAAGTGCTGAGCTGCTGTAGGTTTGATTATGCTGTCAATAGATCATTTCTGTTACTGGCTCATTGCTGTAGATGTATCTTTACTGGCTCATTATATGAATGATAAATCTGTAAGTGTATCATTACTGGCTCTTGTTGTTAATTATCATATTATGAAGATATGTCATTGCATCTAATAGAGTGATTAAATAAGTTTGTATATTAGTAAATTACAGTCATATTAACACCAAGCATTGGCTTAAATACTATTGATTGTTTGCATATGTTTTTATTAGTAATACTAATTCATTAAAATTCATAATCTGAACATTTTTATAGCAGTTTTTAAAAATATTAGTGCTACTATTAATTAAATGTGTTATTCGATGATGCATTGTTTTTGTCTAACTATCTCTTTCTTAATGTATGATGGAGCAAACTGGGATGGCTAAAGATGCTTAACAGGAGCATGAAGTGTTGTAAATTACAAAAGTAAGTTGCAAGGAGCAACATGACTATTAGTTTCAAGCTGATTGCATAAAAAAAAGGTAATATTTCACAGCAAAGCAAGGTCCATAATATATAAATCATGTAACTCTCCACTCATATATCTAACTTCAATCTTTTTTTTCTTTTATGATTTCCATATCCGAGCATGATGCTTAGAATTCTAACCAACAATCATGTAGGTAAGAAAAGGTAAAATTTGATGTGTACCTCTTTTGTCTGAGATCATTCTCTGTTTGCTTGTTGTTTTCTGAACTTCTGTGTCTTTGTTACTCTCAACAGATGTGTTCTTCATAACTTGAATTCTTTTATTGCTGCTTGAATCTTTGTTGCTCTAAACAGATGTGTTCTTCATTACATGACTGTTTTTATTACTGCTTGCATATTTCTTGCTCACATTGATACATATGTAAACTTGAATGTTTTTATTGCTGCTTTCACGAAATGTGGTTGAACTGTTTTTGGAGAAACCAATTTAGTGCCAGTATGTGTGAATTATAGGACAGAAGGTAATGTGTTGGACTGAATATATTAGATATGTACAGAATAGGTGTATTAGATGAATTAGGATATCTTGTGCCTTATCTGGTAGTTGTATGTAACATGTGGTACTTCTCTCTGTTATTTGGATAACCACGGGATAACAACTTGATATTTGATTAACCAGTTTAACTTAATGTATTTGACTGACCAGATTTTATATCTGTTATTTAACACATGCCTTATTTTTTGGTATTTTAATTGTTCCAATCACTTAAACATTTCTGTGTATCTGAATTGCCGAGGTTATTAAAAATTAATTTCCATGAGATAGATGTTTATGTTCCTGATTGATTTCTGATTGAATAGCTGGAAACATATGTGCCCCTGGTTGGTAATTTGATTAATGCTAATGTGTTATGTCTTATTCAGATTGTTTAAACCTATATAAACAGTAATCTGTTCTTTTTTAGCTGGAATTTGTTTCAATCTGTTTTATTTAGTTTTTTAATATAAAGTGGTGAATGTTTGGAAACCATATAGGGACAGGTAGGCTAACAGTAGTTTAGTATTGAATGTTACTGCCTTTTTTTCTACTCAATCTGTTTTATTTAGTTTTTTAATATAAAGTGCTGAATGTTCGGAAACCATATAACCGTCTACAGGTAAGCTAACAGTAGTTTAGTATTGAATGTTATTGCCTTTTTCTCCAATCACAAATAATGCCATTTATTAAATACACTTATTAGATTGATTGGTAAATATATGTTTATTTATTATATTAGTGTAAAATAGTGAGTATGGAAATTATTTTTTACTTTAATTTTTTCATGTATATATTAGTATGTAGTGTTTCATGAAACAGAATTTTCAATACTTAAACCTGAAAAATAAAGTCTGAACAATTAAAAACCTTAATGAAAAATATTATTAATAACCAACGCGGTCCTACACTGAATTCCAATAATAAATCCAAAAACCAAATCCAATATTAAAACCTAAACTGAATTCCAATAATAAATCCTAAATTACTCATGTTGGCGATGCCAACTTATTCAATCATAGTACTCAAAGCAGCTGAAATCCAAATATATAATAATAAAATACTTCAATAAAATCACAATATCCTAGCCACTCAGTTCTTCACCAAAGTTGTCCTTCGTTTCATCATCGTGCTCGATCACTTTCGTTTTGCCCTTGTCTGCAATGGCTGAGTGGGCCGCAAATCCTACCTCATCTTCAAGTGAGTCCATTAGATTTTTCTTTGCATTTGAAGTCTCTCTGATCTTCTCTTTACCTTTGAGAGACTTCACAGGTGTTGACACCTCTTCTTCACCAATGGGGTCCTATCAATAAAGTTATAAAGTCCAAACATTAGTATTTAAATCCGCATATAATAATTTGGGGAAAATAATGCAGCTATTTTTATGAAAAATAATAGGTGATATAATTAATCATTTACCTTGCTATTGTTAGCCTCTTCACTTAGACATAAAGTCAAGAAGTCCGAGTCCTATAAATTCTAATAAAAAGTTAGTGAAACTTTAATATTTAATCATAGTTTATTAATTAAGTAGCGTTATTATTTTTTTGTTTATTATACTTACTTCTTTCATGGTAACCCACTGACTGTACTTAGATACCAGATTTTCATCAGCAATCATCCTAACAACAAAAAATGCTGATTCTACTCCCCTGAAATTACGCCTGTTTTGTCTAATTCGCACCTTAAACAGATATGATTTCTGAATCATATTGTCTATTTCGTCGGGTAGTTCAATGCTTGTAGAATTCTGCCAATAGAGAAAACAATATGTATTATCTAGTTTTGTGTTAAAATATTTAATATGTAGTATAATTAAAATTAAATAACGAACCTTTTGAATCATTTCACGTCTCAATGCGTCACATGGCCTACCAATTATAGGTTCGCATTCATTATTCCATGCAATTAAGGTTGCAGGAGCTGTATTGTCTTGGACACCAAATTGAATCTTGTAGCTATAGATACAAAATACAAGTTAAGAAAAATAATTTTATATTATTTAATTACTATTACTCAATAAATATTGATAATTTTTGTTACCGATAAATTCCAAATTTATGAGCACATTTGCTGCAAGTAAACTGTCCATGAACCTCCTCCATTTTGCTTGTGCATCTTCTGCATGAGTGGTACCACCACTCATCTATAATTGACTCCGCGGTAGCACATATCCAAACATCGGTTTCCTACATTTATCAATTTCATCAATGCTTTTATTCAAATAGAGTTGGCACATATATAAATGTATTTATATTTACCTCGGCAGTAGCAAATAGTGAGTCAACAGCACTCACAACAACATCACCATCCGCCAACTCTTGAAGTTCAGATTTCACAATTATAGCACTCTTTGAAATTAAGCGGGTCCTTGAAAGTGGGCCGGCAGCAGCTCTGGTAAGATTTAAAACAACATTTTTTTAATTGTCTATTATTATATAAAAAATTATTGAATATTAAATAAAATAATTGTATTTTTACCTATTGACAAATCCCACAATGTCTGGAATATTTTGTCCAGTAATTAGCCTTGTGATATCCTTTGATGATGTAACTTGCACTTTTTCTGTTAAGAAATTAAATAAAGTAAATATTTATAAATTTATTATAAAATTTGAAGACATTAACTTTTATATACCATCCCATTCTCTTGAACGCACTAATTGAATTATCAAAGGCCAAGGATTGCCATTGTGGGCAAGCTGATTCTCATAGTTGAGGAATTGGTCAACATATGTCCCCCATAGAGTGCAGGGCAGAATGTTTCCCCTAATTTCAATTCGAAAAAATTTATTATCATAGATAATAATGTAAATATTACATTATACTATTTAAAAGTTAATAATATGTGGGTGTATGTTCTTACTCCGGATCCATTAGTGAGAATGCTATCATGCGAGTTTGTACTCCTTTGACGTTCTTCATTTGAACGGGATGTATCTCGACCACCATTCCAATGACATCTAAACATTTAGTAAATTAAATGTGAGAAAATATTATTAAACGTAAATAATATAAAAAATAAGTGAAAATTTAGTTACCAAATAGCATTGATTCGTCGATTTTCTCGATATCAATCAATGTGATGAACCTTCGAAAGTCGAAACGGAAAATTGGAAAGTCACCCTTGTAGCTTATGTGCTCTGTTCTACCATGTAGTATAAGCCTGTATTGGGCAATGGTAGATCTATACATTCCGATGTTACTCTCAACTTGATAATTTCGAAATGCATAGACAGCACCTTCTTCGAATTCATCCTTGAAAGTTGGGATGTTGATTGCTCTTACTATACCAGTAATTTGACCGCCCTAAAAAAAACGAAAAATAAAATTAAGTATTGTAATTAACATGATGAGAAAAAAGAATAATCATTATTTTTCATTATGAATTAAACCTCATTGTCATGAAAGACAATTTCAAGAAGGTTTTTGTAGGATGAGTATTGATTAGTCCTTAAGAAGACCCGAACCACCCTCAACTTGAGCATTGGCCTGTTGGTTCTTGTTACTTGCTTGATGTTTCCCCATGCTCTCGCCATTTTTTTGTTTTTATGTGAAATTGTTTTGTGAGATTCTTGTGTACCGTGATATGGGCTCCTAAGTTTATTTTATAGTCATGGGATGAGAGTAGATAACCATTACATGATAAGATTAGTTAGACTCTTGATAAGAATCATGTGATTTTTATTTTAGAGTTCCAATAAATTGAAACTCTAATGTTATGATAAGATTAGTAGTAGTAGTTTATCATATTGTTAACTCTAGTTATTTATCCATCGTAGGACTTGCTATGTGTTTTGTTTTTGAATGAATGGCGTTGAATTCAAATTTAAATCTATATAATTCGGTCAATCCAAACACGTATGGACCCAATTTTTTATGATGATAAGATTAGTCAAAGTAGTTACGTAGTAGAGATTTTTTATAATGATAAGATTAGTCAAAGTAGTTACATAGTAGAGATTGATTTTTTATGATGATAAGATTAGTCAAAGTAGTTACATAGTAGAGATTTTTATGTGAGCATCACGTGATTGTAATTAGAGTACCAATAAATTCAAACTCTAATTTCATGATAAGATTAGTAATAGTAGTTTATCAGATGGTTAAAAATTTGATATGCCATTTCATAGTAATACGTAGAATAAATAATTCCATCTTTTAAGTCAAAATTTTATTTATAATAGTTTATATATAACGCAAATTAATATAAATATTGTAATCACAATATGTAATCATATTTATGATATTCCATTATCATAAATTATTGTAAAATCACGCAACATAATTTCTTACATGTACTTAATTTGATTCACGTTATTATGGACCCAATTTTTTATGATGATAAAATTAATGCAAAGTAGTTAAGAAGTGGAGATTTTTGTGTATTTTAATTTCAGAGTTCAAATAAATTCAAACTCTAATGTCATGATCTTGATAAGATTAGTAGTAGTAGTTTATCAGATTGTTAAAAATTTGATAAAACATTCCAGAGTTAACGTTGGATAAATCATTCAATCTTTTATGTCAAAATTTTATTAATATTAATATATATAACACAAATTAGAATAAATCATTCAATCTTTTACGTCAAAATTTTATTAATAATAATTTATATATAATACAAATTAATGTAAATATTATAATCAAAATTCGTATTCATATTTATGAAAATCCACAATTGAATCCATAAATTATTGAAAAATCACCCAATATAATCCATTATAAACTTATGTTAATTTCGTAAATTTTAGTTTATATAACCTTATGTTTGAAATATTTGGTAAAATTTGTATTAATGTATATCTTGTATTATGGAATTCTATAAATTATAAACTAATATAAAATAAAATGTTCAAATTTTAACATTCGTGCGACATTTAATAAAAAAAAAAAAATATTCAACTGAGGGAATTTATTATATAATAACACTAAAATTTATTATAGAATTCCGGATTGAACGACATGGAATGAAATTACAATTCATAATAATCAAACTCTAAATATCATAAATATCTACTGCTCCTTGCTAATGTTGAGGGAAAATATCTTCATTTTGAGGGAAAATTCCATCATATTTGATAACATGAGTTCTTACATGAAGCACAAGTTTCCATTTGTTGGTTATGATATCCTTCTTCCCATGATTAAATTCAACAACATAGTTGCTAATCGCATACACCTCACCTTCGTTCAGTACACCTCGAAATGTTTCCATATGTTTGGAACGTATTATGCCTTTAATGAATGTACCCTACAATATAAATTTATAAATATGAATTAAAATAATTTTTAAAATTGTATACATTTGATATTGCACATAAATATATTTACTTTTCATCATGAAACAGTATATGGAATGCGTTCCAGCTCTCCTGTTGGTGATGCGTTTCAACTATTAGGACTGTTTTCAAGTGCAAAAAAGGCTTGTTTCTCCTACTCAAGGAATCGAGTGTATCGCAGACTGGCGGCAGCATTATATTATCGATATGTTCTTTGATGTATCTTTTTTTTTTTATCTGTAAAATTTATGTACGTTTTNATCAACTCATGATATTTAAAATTTCGTGTAACTAACTTTGAGATTTTAAATGCTTTTAAATGACTTATCAACTCATGATTTTAAAAATTTCGTGTAACTAACTTTTTATCCCAATAATATCTCTAACTAATTACTTTTTGAATTCAAGTGTGAGTTTTTTAATCATTTTCGTGTATTAGATAGATTTGAATATGGATTCTAAATATAGAAGTCAATGTTTTTTTTTTTGGTCAAAAGTTTCTAAAAAAGTATTTTAAAAACAACCTTTTTATATATAGATAGATGTCACGTATATAAAATTAGACTCAATATTTTGGGAGTGCTTACGTAGTACAATTATTCAGTTTGACTAATGTTGAGCATTGTAGGAATCTTTGCTTTAAACAATTGGAGAATTGAAAAGCCAGAAAAATTGATAAAAACAGAGTTCGAATGGTCAAATCTTTGATGAGTCCATTGTGTTTTTCAATTCAATTAAGTTACATTTGTTATAATGTGGTTGGTTGTCGGTTCAACCACCACTACCAATTGATTAATTGTAATATAAATTAATATATGTGAATGACTATTTTGCTTCTAATGTAATTGTATTATTACAATTGTGGTATTAGAAGTTTTCCTATAAATAGGAGTTTCAGGTATAATGAAAATACAACCAAAAGAAAGCATTATCTATATTCTCTCTTTTTCTCTCTAGTTTTATGACACGTTATCAGCACGAGTCGCTACCCTCTAGAGCTCGATTTGTAATATGACGAGAGTATGCTCTACATGCATGGGTTATTTGCAATCTCGTTCAGTAGGCCGTTGTTAATGCGTCGACAGTGTGGTCGGTCGTTTGATGGCCTAGGTAGTGTTCGATCGTTTGACGGCCTAAGTTGTTCTCGAACTTGGGTCGTGGGTTTGAAGGTCTCGGGTTGTCGTCGTAGGTCGTAAATATGAGCTTTACGCGAAATGGGTCTCGTTAACGGTTAAAATGGAAACCCAACATTAGTTAGATGGAGCGGTCATTTGTATCATTTGGGTAAATTAGTCCACGTACGTGACGGCTCGAGTTAGATGTGATTCACAGAGGCTCGACGGGTGGATCCAGTGGTTTAAGTTTGCTATATTCGTATGCATATCACCTAGTATGAGCGAGACCTGTGAATATTTATAGTGAACGCGACAATATGAACACAATAATGTGAATACAATCTGCTAAGAGCGAACCTCCCGACTCTTATTTTACAATTTAAAAGCTTTATTCGGGCAATCGGAACTTTCAATTGTCGGTTCATATTCGTAGCTCTTTTATCCGGTTCATCAGCCATATTGCAAACTTTTTGAATATATTGTTATACTGTACCACTTCACGACCTAGTTGTAAAATATTTTAGAGTTTCCAATTATAGATGAAAATTTCCCGCAAATATATTATAGAGTTTCTAGTTATGGATGAAAAATTTCCCTAACCTTACCTTGACAATTTACATTTTTTAAAGTACTTTTAGCTTCATTGTTAATTGGTTCAATGAAATTTTCAAGCATGATGATCATATATTACACAACTCTAGAAATAATTCATAGATATCATTCAAAATTGATAAGTGCCTTCCAGATGAAATTTTCAAGCATGATGATCATATATTACACAACTCTAGAAATCATTCAAAATTGATAAGTGCCTTCCAGAATATATTAGGGGGGAAACAACTCTATAAATATATCTTTCACACAAATGGTGTGGATAAATACTTATATGTTTTTAGTAACATGATTTTATTTGTTTTGATATTTTAAAAATGATATCCTAATATAAAAGTAGGTGTATATATTGTAAAAGCTGGTGAATTATGATTCTCTTAATAATGCCTGCGGGACGTAGATACGTGCTAGCCTCACATAACAATTTTAGAACCAGCTGTTGGGTGTGCTATAGCCCCACCTAAAAATTTTAGAACAATGTATTAGTATATTTGTATCTAACTTTTATTTTGAGCCTAAATAAAATTGAATGATTTCAATCTTCAAGTCATTTGATTTTTTTTAGAAATAACAACTATGGTGTGTTTTGTAATTGGTTAATTAATTAATTAATTAATAATAATAATAATAAATTACGAATAAACTTGATGTGAAAATATAATCTTCAAATAATCTGTCCTTTTGAAAATTGTTTTGAAATAAAATGATGTGATTCAACATAATTGGTAATTATAATTGTTGGAGTAATAAAATAGTAAATGTAAATTCCTATATCCCACAAAAACATGCTTAATAAAATCAATATTATCAAAGGTAAACTTTTAGAGTATTTTTCTAAACTTTATTTTAATTTAATATTATATTTATTTTAAGATTCCTTATCGAACAAGTATGCATATTGAATAAATAAATAATATAATTAATATTTATTTATTTGAAATTTTGAGTGATATTTTAAGTTATTTTTACATTCAAAACTGCTAAAAATTATTTACTTAGTGAAATCCTTATTAAAATTCTTAAGTTCAAAGCTAGGATTTGGTAGTAAGATTTGACATATATAATTTGTGTTTGAATTATAAATATTAAAATGCCCTAATGAATTTTAGTGTCAAATAAATTAATTTTATCACGACTTTTACAAGCTTTCAAAATCTTAATTCAATAGCTCAAGAATTTTAAAAATCATAAAAAGTCAAGACCTAGATACACAAAAAATTTTAAAATATTTAAAAATCTCTAAAAATCTTAAATGTATATACCCTTAAGTTATTCTGTTTTTGAAAAATCATGTCGATCTTTTTTACATCGAAACTTGTGCTATCTTCATAAGATATACTACACCACAAATATATAAATTAGTTAACAATTAGATGGTGTTTTGAAAAAAAAAAAACGGTTTGAATAATTATTATAAAAACCACACGATATATAATGTATTAATGTTGCAATACCAACTAATTGTATTAGTCAGCCCGGATAAAATTAAATTCTGGCTACTTATTGAGTATGAAGATAATTAATTGCATAATATTTAAGTTTAGATTTAAGGAGACAAGTAATATTTCATGTTTTTCTAGGCATGTGATTGGAAAAATAAAATACTTTCAAACTCAATTTAGTTAGCAACATATGTCTTTTCACTTTATAAATAACATGAAATATTTTATTAGTCAGCCCGGATAAATTTAAATCCTCGCTACTTATTGAGTATGAAGATAATTAATTGCATAATATTTAAGTTTAAATTTAAGGAAACAAGTAATATTTCATGTTTTTCTAGGCATGTGATTGGAAAAATAAAATACTTTCAAACTCAATTTATTTAGCTACATATGTCTTTTCACTTTATAAATAACATTTAATTATAAGTAGTTTGAGGGAAACTTCATATTTTACTTTTGTACTTATATTTCTAATTATAATCAAATAACCCTAACTTTTATTGAATTCTACAAAANAAAAATCATCCTCTAGAAAAACTTAGAAAAATGACATGCCATCAATAAACTTAAGTCCAGCAAAACATGTACCGTGTGGAACGTGGCTTAATTTAATTACAACTATACTCGAGTAAACTTAAAACCTAAGAGAAAAAAAAAATGAGAGATTTAACTAAGCCATTTTCTACACCAATTATTTCAAGATTCAACCAACTCTAATATCAATCTCTTTTATTTAACTAATGACAATATGTCACATTATTAACGTTCATAAATGAAATGGATAATTACCAATATCACCCCTTAGCACAGTCCACGACCGAACGAAGGTTACCACCCCAACCCCAATCCTCATGCCTCATGAACTCACTCATCTCACCACAAATCGAGCCCGAAAACAACGAACCACCCGACGGGCCTTGAGATGTAGAAACCACCGGCCAGCCGAAAAATTGGCCACTTGGAAAAGGTCGATTTGTTGGAACATTGTTTTGGTCATAATTAAGCAATGCCCAGTTAAAGGGTTTTTGGTCGTCGGTTAGCCTTATATTCGGTGAATCGAAACAAATGTTGCAACTCGGTTGTTCCAAACTCTTAAGAGATGTTTCTCTTGAGTATTTTGCATAGGGTCCAAACTTCTATACGCGATAGTAAATGAGGGACTTTTTGAGGCCGATAACACAATCATGGCCACCCATGATCCGATTTGATCTTATGCTGTTCCTGTATTTTCTTCCTCTTTCGCAAAAGAAGTACCACTTTGTCCCCGACCTCGCAAAAGAAATAATATATAATAATATTTTAAATCTATTGGCAAAAATTCAAAATTGGTCCTATAATTTGGCCACTGTCCAAAAAACCACCCCGATGTTGACCACTTTCAATTTAAATCCTATAATTTATTGATTTCATCAATTTTGGTCCTTTTTTATCTGCACCCTGGATTAAAAAGTGACGTGACATGAAAAAATGACCAAAATTGATGAAATCGATAAATTATAGGACCAAAATTGACGTGCCACGTAGATCATAATCACGCCAAGTAACATTAAAAATTTGACATGTCATGCCACGTCACTTTTTAATCAAGGGTGCGGATAAAAAGGACCAAAATTGATGAAATAGCCAAATTATAGGACCTAAATTGAAAGTGGTCAATATTAGGGTGGTTTCTTGGACAGTGACCAAGTTATAGGACCAATAGATTTAATTGTATTTATTCACAAATATAATAATAAGATTGAATAAATATACTTAAAATTGTCCACCCCGTATATCGTACAAGTTATACACTAATTTTGCAAAAAAAGACAAATTTATTTTTTATTTTTTTTACAACTCGAACCCAAATGATATGAAGATTTTAGAGAGACATTCTATGCCCCCATTAAAAGTGATTGCAAGTGATTAATAAGGAATCGGAAAAATGATAATTTATTTGGAAATATCTTCATTTCCAAACAAATTTTGAAAAAATCTACTAATATGGCAAAAGACAATTTTATATTATTTCATTTTCCTAATTGGTAAACCTACGCAGCCACAGAGTGTTCTATAAGAGCTGAACGCGATCTGACTCCAGCTCCACCCCCAAGTAATATTTTCCCCAAATCTCTCTCCATCAAAATTCATGGCCCTCTCGCCACCGCAGCAGCAGAACCACCTTCGCGCTCTCGATGACGCCGTCATCGGCGACATCAGTTTGAAGCAGATCCTCCAATTGGCCCTCATCTCGTTGGCGTGTTTCTTCGACGCACAACAAAATTTCATCACCATCTTCACCGACACCCAGCCCAAATGGAGCTGCAACTCCCAATCCCCCGCCACGTGTACCGACATGTGTCGGCTGCCAGAGGGCTCGTGGTCGTGGGATTCCCCCGCGCACTCGTCCATCATATCCCAATGGTCCCTCCAATGCTCGAGCCCGATTATCCGTGGCCTGCCGGCCTCGTCATTTTTCCTCGGCTGCCTAATCGGCGGCTTGGCCCTTTCCACGCTGGCGGATTCGAGCCGCGGCCGTAAGAACATGCTCGCCCTATCCTGCCTCGTCATGTCGGTTTTCGGGTGCCTAACCGCGCTTTCCGTGAACGTGTGGATGTACGCCGGCCTCCGATTCATGAGCGGCCTCGGACGAGCCGTGATCGGCTCGTGCTCGTTTGTCCTCGGGACCGAACTCGTCGGCCAGAAATGGAGGGGCAAAGTCGGCATTTTCGGCTTTGTGTGCTATGACCTGAGCTTTCTCTCTCTCCCGATTCTGGCCTATTTGCTGAGGGGGTCCTCCTGGAGGTTAATGTACGTCTGCACTTCCGCTCCTTGTGTTTGCTACTCGATTCTTGTCTATTTCTCGACTCACGAGTCCCCGAGATGGCTTTTCATCAAGGGTAGAAAAAGGGAGTTCGCGAGGACGCTCAAAAGCCTCTTGCGAAAGGGGAATTTCGATCTCACCGTGGTGGATTCTCTGCAATGGACTGAGAATTCTGCGGAACAGAATCACTCTGCTGCATTTAAAGTCTTGTTCGTGTGTAAGTGGGCAGTGAAGAGATTGATACTAAGCTCCGTGGCAGGATTCGCGGTTGGGCTGGCCTACTATGGGATGCCTTTGGGCCTCGGGAGCCTGCACTTCAATTTATACATAAGCGTTGGGCTGAATGCGCTGTCGGGCCTCCTGTCGAACGTGGCCCTGCTATTCGTGATCGGGAGAATGAGGCGGAAGGTGTTGATGGGTGGGCTGTGTTTGTTGAGTGGGGTTTGCAACTTGGCGGGCGTGTTCGTGGGGCTCAAGGGGTGGAAGATGGGGATGGAGCTGCTCTCGTTTTTCTGGGCGGGCATGGCTTTCAACGTGCTGCTGGTGTACGTGATGGAGATGTTCCCGACGTGCGTGAGGAACTCAGCTGTGTCGGTTGTGAGAGAGGCCATATTATTGGGCGGGTTTCTCGGGCCCGTGGTTGTGGATGTGGGGCCCACGGGGAACGGGTTTTTCCCGTACGGGATTTTTGGGGTGACGATATTGGTGTGCGGGTTGTTTGTGCTGTGGCTTCCGGAAACAAAAGGGAGGGTGTTGTTCGATACTATGGACGAGGAGGAGGACTATAGGGGGACTATAGGGTGAGGAGTTGGTGTGATGGTCCTAGGAAAAATTTGTGAACTTTAATTAAAAAAAAAAAGGTCTAATTACTAATAAAATTATGACCTTTTCGGTTTTGAACTTGGGACTTCAAGGTTGTACGATTACATTGTGTAACGCCCCATTTTAAGAATAAGAGAAAATAATATCATTTGTATTTCATTCTTAGCTCGATTTTACATTTAAATCATATAATCCAACAATCGAATTAAGTATATGTCCTCGTCTACTTATTTTTCTTAATTTCTTAAATTGTTTTAATTGTTTAATTGCTTAACTATTTTCCTTAGTTCGGTTAATTGTTTGATTTGCTCGATTACTTTATTTTTCTTCTAAACTCAAGTTAAGCTATAAGTGTGCCAAAGTTTTCGAAAAACTAAACTAAGAGCATCTCCAATGCTCAACTTTCAACATTAATTAAATTTGAACACATGTCGATCAATGGATTAATGTTTAATCTACATGAACTGAATATTAAAAGAATAGGACTTTCATTTGAATTGTTGCCTCCAATGCATCCATTCAACAACCATACAATTTGTATATGTGATTATTCAATTATTAATAAAATCAAAGAGTATATTAGGAAAAAACCACAAATTCCAATAATTATATGCATGATGTTATTTTTTGTTGATTCAGTTAATTTTTATTTATATCATCAAATTTATTAAATTATTATTTATTCAATAATTTCTCAGTTACAATATGTATAACCACACAATAAATATTTTGTAATTAGTTCAAAATAAAACAACAAAATATTAAAATTGCAATAACTCAACAAACAAATATCATGAACATAATTTTTACTTTTAAGGACATTATTATTGATAATTTTTTTAAATTTTAGTTGTAACTCGTAATTATACTGTATTCAAATAAATTCTCAAACGTTTTATTGGATAAATGTAAGGGTGAGATTTTTTCAAGTTTATGAAAACCTCAAAATTTGTGTCAAATAATTATCAAAATGATGAGTCATCATGTTAGAAAGAATGTGAGAAATTAGAAAGTGAGTTTGACAATGTTAACATTAATTTTTTACACATAAGCATGAAAGGACCCATAATCTAATGCATTGGAGGATATAGTATTCACACACTTTCTATCTAGATTAGGTGGATAACTTTTTACCCTTTCAAAAAAGAATGCATTAGAGATGCTCTAAGCTCGGTCATATTTTATTTTGAGCCTAAGTTCTATTTTTATTCCCAAGTCCAAAAAGCCTAAACTATGAGCCCATGTATTTTAATGAATGCATGCCCTTAGCCAACTATGTTTTGAATTTTAGACTCCATGGACTAAGTCTCCACCTCATGCCCTTAATTTCGGTCCGTAACAACCTCAGCCTCATGCATTTTTTTAAAGCCACGTAAGTGTTCAAAACCTGCAAGAATGGGTCATCCAACTACCCCTAAAAATTAGCACCTCATCCCTCACAACCTCTTAATTATTATTTCAGCTACATATCTTTTCACTTTATAATTATCATTTAATTATAAGTAATTTGAGGGGTTAACTTGCATATAACTAACCTCATAGAAATACATAATTATCTTTTTAATTATAATCAAATAATCCAACTTTTATTGAAATCTACCAAAAAAACAAAACAAGTTCATCATCTAAAAAAAGACTTGCCATCCATAAAACTTGAGTCCAATCATCATAACACGGTGTTGAACGTGGCTTAATTTAATGACAACTATACTCGAGTAAACTTAAAACCTAAGAGAAAAAAAAAATGANAAGCCATTTTCTACACCAATAATTATTTCAAGATTCAACCAAGTCTAATACAACCATCTTTTTTATTTAACTACACAATATGTCACATTGTTAACTTTCATAAATGAAATGGATAATTAGCAATATTACCCTTAGCACAGTCCACGACCGAACGAAGGTCACCACCCCAATCCTCATGCCTCAAGAACTCACTCATCTCACTACAAATCGAGCCCGAAAACAACGAACCACCTGACGGGCCTTGAGATGTAAAAACGGAGCCAATAAATTGACCAGTTGGAAAAGGTCGATTTATTGGAACATTGTTTTGGCCATAATTAGCAATTCCAGATACGGGTTTTTGGTTGCCCGTTGGCCTTACATTCGATGACTCGAAACAAATATTGTAGCTCTTTTGTTCTATTTGGCACGTTTTGGATCCCAAATCGGATATTGGGTCGATTGTGGTTCGTCCGCCAGTCGAATCGCGCCAATCGAGTAGACTTTTTTTGTGAGAGGTGTTTCTCTTGAGTATTCTGCATAGGGTCCAAACTTCCTGTAAAATTGAATGACTATATCAATTAAATATGCATGTGATTGATTAGTAGCAAAAAATTAGAGTTTTCTTAGCCTGTTTTGTAATTCTATATATTGTAATTCTATATATACATGTCCTAATGGGGACAACATTTTTAAGATTTTTAATTAGCTACTTACAGCTTCTTGAGCACTAGGGCTTTTAGTAACATCATCCATAGTGTCGTGTTTGGCTGTTTTCCCTTCGATTGCCGGCGGCAGCCGGAACTCGTGCATCATCCATTCAGTCTTGGTGCCTTTTCCGGCGGACCCGCGATAGTAAACGAGGGATTTTTTGAGGCCGATAACACGATCACGACCACTTTCTTTACCAGAGTAAACGGGCTTGTCGATACCCGTTGCTTTCCAAAAACCCGAACCTGTGACTCGGTTTGGTCTTATGCTGTTCCTGTATTTTCTTCCTCTTTTGCAAAAGAAGTAACACTCTTTATCTCCGACATTGCCCGATTCTGAAAAAAAAAAGCCGGTAAGACGATCGATTAAATTAATTTGACTTAAAAATTTATATACCATTTTGTTTTAGATCAATACTTAAAATTCGATGTTGAAATTGGTGGAATCTGACCCTACTTTTGATATATAGTCATCCACACGAGTTTTTAAACCGTCAGATCACTCATACTTACTATGTATGTGTCGAAATGTGAGTATTTACGGTATACTGGACCTCAAGTATATACCAATTAATTAAAATCTATATTTAAATCTCTAATATAAAATTGGGTGAATTTTACCTGTGTGTAGATTTTTAATCATCAGACCACACACACTAGTTAAGTATAATCNAAAAGAAGGGTATAATCATACACACTCATGTATACTATATTATGTGATTGTGTGTGATCCGATTAATAAAAGTTCGGGCGGTTAGTGTTGAAACTTCCATTAAAATTGATTGACTAAGGAAAACTATCGATGGAAAATTTATTATATTTGTACTTTGGAATTTTGAACGTGGAACATTATATTGGGAATTAAATTATTTGTTTTTTTGTGTATTTGCAAGACGCTTCACAAAAATAGCATTCATATTTTGCTGTACCGATCAGTTAAGGTAAGGAGTACCTATCCAAAAAGTCAAAAAAGTTGAATACTTTGGAAAAAAATGTGCCAACTTTTCAGATATGAGAAAATAAATATATGATAATCATATTTAATTTATAATTAAAGAAGCTAATTAAAATAATCATTTGTTCAGAGCAAAAAGCTGAATATTGGATTGTTACTTAAAAGTTGAACTAATAGAGGAGGTATTCAATATATATTTCCATAAATATTATATCTGATTTTTCTTATCTTTGTTTAATTTGTCTCTTACATATATTTACATAATTAATAAATGTCAAATATCACATATAATGAAACACACCAAAACAGAGAAAAAAAAAGACACCTGGTTAATTTATATTTATATTTCATGAAGAAATAAATTGAAACCGAAAATAAAAATCATGAACCAATTAAATTGAACTAAATATTCAAACATACGTACTTGGAAGATCCCATGGATCGTATTTATAAATATCGGCCTGCTTAATAAGCTCGATACTAATCGGCCTCTTCTCGACTTTCCGTTTCAGATAAAAATCGACGAGCTCCTCATCTGTCGGGTGAAATCGAAAACCGGGAAGTTGTGCACGATCATCATCTTCTTCTTCTTTATAACAATCCCCTGCGCAAGTGATGCTGCTGCTGCTATTATTTTCGACTTCCATAATTCCAATAACAATAATTTAAGGAAAATCAAAGAAAAAAAAAATGTTAATGTAGAGTTTCTACTTATGGTGATTTTTCTGGTGTTTTTTAAGTGTGAATAAGTTAAAGGAAGAAGNATGTGGCCAATAGTTTAATGGGTCAAGTCAATTGTGTTGACTTGTTGGTTTGATTTTTTAATGTTATAATTTCTTTCGAGGGGCCACGAGTGCTTATACTTTTTTGAATTTGTGAAAGATTGAAGTGGTCGTCGCCCTATTTAATAGGTTTCCCTTTGTGAATGATGTAGAGGTTGTGTTAAATTAAACGAACCTGGCTCGGCTCGACTCGATTTGTTAAGGTTTGAGTTCGGATCGACTCGTTTGATAAACAAGCTGAGTTCGAACTCATTTAATGTTTGTTTTGTTAAGAGTCGATAAAGTTCGAATATAGTTTGGTTCGTTAAAGCTTGAGATTGGCCGAACTCGAGCTTGATTCCAGGCTCGTTAAGGGCTCGAGCTCGCGACTCGTTTATAGGACTATGTAGAGCAGTTATTTGAATCGAGTTGTTCGTAAATATATATCTCGATTTATCTTGTGAAAAACTCGACCTGGATTAGTTTGTTTATTTGAATGAGGTCGAGTTCGAATAAAATTAATTGAGTTTTTTCTATTAAACAAGTCGATTTGTCGAACTGTTCGCTAATTTCTCATTTACTTTTTTTTTTTTCTTACATATATGTTTTATGTGCTTCAAACAAACAGTCAAGACGAACATGCTCGCAAATGGCTCGTTCATGACTTTGGATTTGTAAACAAGTCGCACCAAACTTTCTCGAACTTAAAAACTTAAAAGGGAAAAGCATTTGGTTCGTTTATTTAATGAACATAAGCTCGAACATGGCGTGGTCGACTCGACTTGACTAGAATAAAAATATTTTTTTTTAGGTTATAATATATTAATACATACTATGAAATATATCTTTGCAATTTATAGCTTGTATACACAGCATGGATAATTGATGTTGATTATATTGGCTTTAAAGGCGTAAAATATGTGGTGGGATCTAACCATTGAAATTCGTACAGAATTATTAAGATTATGAATTAAGGATAGTCAAACTCTGTACGAATTTCATATTGCACATGTAAAGTAACTAACTAAAATTATTTATCTTTGTTATAAAAATTAAATTATTTGTTAATACTAATTAAAAATTGATAAATTTATATATCTATTAAAATAATATCAATAAAGTTGTTAGAATAAATTAAAAAATATTATAATATAAAATTTGTAAATCGAACAAGTGGAAAGTGTCATTTTAAAACTAAATTATAACGCAAATTTTTAAAAATTAGTTATACTTTAAATAAAAAAATTCTTTAAAATAATAAATATAATTTTTTAACCAGCGCATTTAATTTTAAGGAAAATGCTACAAGTACATAATAAATGTACATAACACTCACATTGTGTAGAATCTACCAAAAATACCAAGAGAAATGTTATAGGCATAGGGGTGTACATAACACTCACATTTACCTCCAAAAATAAAAAATCAAGTGAACTCCACTCCATGTGAGTGTTATGTACATTTATTATGTACTTGTAGCATTTTCCTTAAAATTTTACAGTAATGTCATATATAATTACATATATAGTAATATTTTTTTACATATAAGTGAAATCCACTTTGGTTGAAATTCAAACAAACTATTTTATGTTAAACTATGTACAATTTTAAGTATAAATTAATATGTACCCTTACAGTTATTTGAAATTTATTTATTTTTATTTAATTTAAATTTAGTTCTTAACTAAACCCAAACACGTCCTCAGTCATTCCAAGTTTGGCTGTTAGCCTGTTATTTTTAATTTTTAGTANGAAATATATTCTTGTTGAAAATTTTGGGCAAGAAGGCAAAGTCAAAATCAGTGATATAATGATCAATGTAGTTGACTCTAGAACAGAAAATTTGATTATCATTTCATATTATTAATATATATTATCATTTAAATGAATAAATAATTTAATACTTTAACAATATTCAACATAATAGCTTTGGCCATATCCTTATAGGACCATGATAGCACAACATCCCTCCCGCCATATTTTAGTCATATTTTGTAAACAATGGCAAAAATAATATTTGTGAAATATCTAAATTCAGAGAAGCAAATTTGGAGCTCAAATCTGAAATCTTCATTACAGAAATAAGCTGAAATAGCTCGTAACAAACTCGATCGTTAGTTAATGATCTCGGCCGTCCACGTGTCCTCAAATATCAAGAACCAAAACAACAGAAAAATAAGAAACACGTCTTTACAAGTGAAAAGCGAGTTTAGTCAAGCCTTCTAAACAAAAAACAGAAACTGAATAAACTGAAACAAATTAAAATCTAACTCAAATATGTCTTGTAAGCGTGCTCAACTTAGAATTTTAAATTAAAGGCAAAAAATAAGCTGCATTTGGTGAATAACTTTATAATGGACATACATTGAACAGTGATTTCAATAATAAAATAATTACATATTTGTGTTCACACGCTACCTTTAATTGAAATGAACATATATTTTCAAATAGTTTTGTTAGAAAAATCTATGATTCTATACGAATAGCGCAATTCACACTGAAACTAGATATATGGCTCTTGCCGTTTCAATTATTTAGTTTGTCAATGATGTAATTTTTTATTTTTTTATTTTTATTTTTTTATTTTTTTTCTTCAGATGTTCGACAAATTCAAAGTCGTGTTTTGTTGTTATGCGTTCTGATTTTGCTCATGCCTTTACAACCGCTAGTGACATAATTTATGTCAAACATATATATGTTTGGGTCCATATTTTAATAACAAGCATTCAATAGATAGATACATGCAAATGGTTCTCCACTCTCCACATGAACATCGGACGATAAAGCAGAGAAAACAATCATATTTATAAGGAAAGAACGATGTATTAAAGTCTTGAATACTCTTCACGACAAAATAAGAAACAAATAAATAAATAAAATTAGAAAATTATAAACACTTGAACAGTTCTCACCAAATCAAAACTCGACTTCTACATGTTTCAGATCACATAAAATTTAATTAATTACTCTTGTTCAGGTTGGCAAAGGGATAGAAGAAAACGTACGTACAAGCCAAAAACTTGAATAGAACATTACAAAGAAAATTAATATTTTCTACAAGCGCATTAGATTATTATTGAGAAAATTCAGCAATACAAGGGAACATGTCCAAAATCTTGAAAGTCGAGACTTGTGCGTTGACCATTAGACTTTGGCATTTCCACATTTCTATTCTTACATTTCGCGTGAGATTTGTGGGTATTAATTAGGAATTTTATATTTTGTTGTGTTTTACTTTTATTTTTTTTTAAATATATTTTTGCTATTAAATCAACAGTTAGCTCCATAATGGAGCCAACATTCTATTCACAACAAGGAAACCATATCATATTAATAAAATTATTAATATTTATTAAGTAATCAGAAAATATGGATAGATACCAGCTGGAACTTAAGGTCCCGTCTTCTTCCCCAAAAAACCCATCCGCCCAAATCCCGTCTTCTTCGAGCTTCTTCTCCTCTCGCCGATCAGCTCCCTCAGCCGGCGTCCGTCATCATCGGTGGACGACCTCCTCCGCTCATCCATGGATGCGGCTCTACCTTCCTCTGTCTCGTCTTCGCTGAATTAGGGCTAGGGTTCCGGCTGGACAAATTTCCGCTCGAGGCCGCCGGATTTCAGTGGTTGGGACATGGCGGGGTGGGGTTGCGTGTGGATGATGCTAGTGTCGTTGAAATCAGCTGTGGTCGGGCGCCTTTAATCGTCCTGTGTTGGAGGATTGCCGTGGGTCTTCCGATTCCCCCAGGGGTTGGGTCGCCGGCAGCAGAAGTTGGGTCGCCGGCGCTGCGCGTTTGTGGGGATGGAGGGTCATGGCTTCTACTGGCAGGTTCGGTTGATATGGGTGCTCGTTTGGGCTTGGTTGAAGCGGCCGAGCTGGGAAGGCGCTCGTCCCCTTACTCCCCTTGCTTGATTTCCGAGATTTGGGGGAGGCCGACGGTCCCCGGAGTAGGCTAGTGGTGTTAGGCTGCCTCGGTTGGGTGTCGGATCGGCTAGTGGTGTTAGCCGGTGGGGTGGTGTGAGTGGTTTTCTGCGGTTGGAGAAAGGGTCGCGTTCTCGGTCTGTTTCGCGGCTTCGGTCATCGTCTTGCTAGGCCTTAAGCAGTGGTGGGCGTGGTATCGGAGTTTTGGAGCTCTCCTCGGAACCGACTTTGTCTGCTAACCTTTTCGGATGTACCTGCTGCGGGAGGTTGTTATGTTAGTGTGTAGTTGTATTAGGTTTCTTTGTTTGTTTGCTGTGGTAGGATCGTGTTTTGGTTTGGGCTCTTTGCCTGGGTGTTCTTATTTGTCTTTTAGGTTTGGGCCGTTGGCCTCAGTACTCCCGAGTGNAAAATATGACTAAACAATAATTTGATCCCACCATTTAAATTAAGTTCCTTAGCTAATGTACAATAATTTGATCACTTACTTTGAATAAACAATATAATGACCCAATATATCAATTAAATATGTTTAATCTTAAAATAGATATAACATAAAGTGCATTAGAAAAAATTGGTATGAAACTAATCGTCGTTTCTAAATTCTAATTGGCAACAAATATACTGTTTTATTTTTATCACACAATAAATGGCAAACATTTTTTTTCCATTTGGAACAATCTAAATTCTATATATCTTATATCAAACATAACCTATTGAAAACTTAAAGCAATAGTCATTGACTTAATGCGGATCAAGTAGAGACAAACATTTAATTTTGAATTTAAGTAATCATATATAATTGTAAGCAAAATAATTAATAAACATATTTTGGCTCCTTTCCAATTTCGGTTACAAAAGTCTATAATTTTTTTTTCTTTTAAATTTACTTTCTTTTATTTAAATGTTACAATCAATATAGTTCAACTTCTATTTATAATGTAATTTCTAATCTTCTTACATAATTTTGGTCACTTGAAATATCAACTACATGTCCAACATAAATCATTCCATAACAAATTAATTTTATTTTATTTTTTTGAAAATCCATATTTATATTATTCACCAAAATTGT